AGCAAACCTACAAGAAAGCGCCACTCCCTGCTCAACTTAGAGAGTTTCGGGAGATTCACCCCATATCAATTGAACATAAGTACTTCAGTAGCCTTATGAAATTGATGCTCCTAGTTTGTAGCCTTTTGGTTTTAGACGTTGAAAAACATCTCACGCCACAAGTTCCTCCATTGTCCGCTTTTTATCATCATTGACTGGAAAAAAACATTCTATGGAAATTGTGGCTCTACTCTTTTTGCTTCGTGCTTCATGTGGTTCACGGCAACAATGGAATGATCCGGTATCCTTGTCCTGTTTGCGTTCGAATGTAGTGGTGTAGAGGAAATGTTCAGCGGAACATTTGGCAATGTACCGTGTACATTGACCACATTTTAGCCTTTTCGGAACACATAAGCTAACTATAGGGCTTGAAAGTGATGACGTCAAAAACGGCCTGGGAGTAGTAAATTGACATCAGATTTCTATTTTGGATCCACTAAGGTGTAACTTTGCTATTGCCTCAGTATGTGGGTGCATAGCAACCCACTCATGTCGTATGCAGGTGCAACTTTTACTTCTCCACCAGTTGTCACCCCGCCCCCACTAGCCAAATCAGTCAGTTTCACTGGCAACATCACCTTGCTGTGAGTGAGACCGCTTGAAATGTGCTTGGATCCATACAAAACTGGATCCACCTGGATCCAGTTTTCGAATTTTTCAAATTGTTGCTATGCCATTGCTATGGAGTGACGTAGCACTTTCAAGCCCTATTGCCAGATCACCGGTAGAGTAGTGAGCAAGTCCTTGCCAGACGCGCACGTCTCATCTCATCATTCGAGTTTCATATCCTGCTACACTAGAGCGCAATAATATCTAGCACCTACGGCCGCCAGCTTGAGCGTTGTGAGCAATGTCCTGCTAAAGTGCAAGACCTGCTACTGTGTAGCTCTCAGTCATGCAGGCTTGTCGAACTCTAGCCTGCTCCCGGTTGCACTATTGCTCTCCACATGCTCTCGCTTCACATCCTTTTTTACGTTCAGCCAGCCTGTTCGCAGCCATCACTTGGCTAATGATCTCGATTTACCGAGAGACTCGGTGTGGCAATGCCCGTCTTCTATCGTTCTCCCTCCATGTTGTCATGTTGATTGTGTCCTGGCTAAGCACCAGTCCGCACATGCGATCACAACTTCAATACAGTGTGAACTGGGAGTTTTGTTGATACGGTCTCGAACTAAATTTTTGCTTTGGATAGAGAAAGCCACGACGGTAGTTATCACGGTACATCCTCCAGTCAGTTTCTAGGCTGTGAAATTTCCTATCTTTCAAAGACTCTTGAGTGATAAGTTCCTTGGCACGGGGCCTGTCGCCTGCACGTGGCTAAAATGAAATGCAGAATGCAGACAGTGGTATTCATCGTAGGTATTTTCGGAGTGATACCATGGCACAGTGGAGCAGCAGGTAAGATGATACAAGTGCGTGTAGTTTTGCCCTCACCATGCACAAACATGGCTAAATTACAAGGGTGCTTAGTGTACTCCGTATCAATGTTTGCAATGTGATCATCAATGTTGCAAACCAGTCCTGCTGCAGCCGAATGACATCCCCGCTGAGCGTGTCGAGGTACAGCCCATTAGAACCAGGAGAATTGATCCGTTGGGGTCTCTTCGAGGAAATAAAGAAAAGAATATGTGGAAAGTGTCCAATCACCCACATTTTCAATGTCCGACAGAGGTTTTCCAATATTTATTTATCGACGAAGTTGTTTCGCTATACTAACTTAGTGATCTACAGGCTGAGTGGGTCGGCGGAGAGCACATTGCGGGATGCTGTCTAACACTGATGCAGTGATGGTCGTTTATTATAGACTTTGTGGCTAATGTTTCTTCTTGGTATCGAACGCTTCACTACGCATACTTCTGAGCTGGATTAGCACCTGAACCTGCCTACTTTTCTACTTCCCAGCACTGAGCAAGTGCATAATTATTACTTTTTGTGCGTGTGTGTGTGGGGGGGGGGAGGGGAGTGGTATTTGTAGGAGTGCTTGAGCGAGCGTGTTCATCCGGGTAAATAATGAGCATGTGTGTCAGTCCGCTTGGTTTGCTGGTGTGGGAATGCTTCAACGTGTTTATATCCATATTGCAGTATCCTCAGCGTGCAAATCATCACAAAGTCGAGGAAATAATTAATTTGACCATTCATAACCATAATAAAGCTGACACGTGCGCCTGGTGCTTGAACATTTTCCAACCAAGAACAACGTCTATGTGAAAGTTTGTTCATATGCGTGTGTGTATTTTGCGTGGGAATGTTACTACCTGTCTCTCTCCCCCTTGCAGTCTCGGCGCCATGCACATTGTCACAAAGTCCAGGAAATCTGACCATTGACAATCATATGAAGCTGGAAAGTGCGCATGGTGTGGGACCAATTCTCCAACCGCGGACAATTATTCCTTTCCCGAACATATCCTTCTACAGCAGCTGTCCATTTGTCCAGATCGATATTACGGCAGATGTGGCTCAAACGTCGTGCAATCCGATGTTGGTGCTATTGAAGGAATTCCATGGGGGAAAGTATCAGATTGCCTCTGAACGCATTCCACCTAGTACACACAAGATGGGTTCTGCTACATGGACCGGGGTGGGCCTTGACCACTACGTATCTCATAACAGCAGTGCGACAGAAGCTTTTATCATTGGAATGACTCTGCAAACCGGATGCCAGTTGAATTTAAAAGCTATCTGGCCGCAAGTCGCCTGGGTAATGCTGCAAGGCAGTACACCAGATGTCTTACAGAAGTTTCCCTATGGTGCTGCGCTGGAGCCTCCTGTCACGATGACCGTCCGTGGTAAGTGCCGTTCATTCCCGTACTCTCTACTCATTTACTTCCCCGAACAGTGGCAAGGTGTGATTAGTACATTTATCAGGCATGCTTGAACGCTACACTAGCAACTGTCACAACTCATGTTAAATTGTACTCGGTTCCCATCTTAGACCTCTAAGCCGAGCAATAGTAAAATGCTAGAGAGAATACTTTAGCAAATGCAGCAGTGACAAAGGCCACAATGTATTTCGTTCTAATAAGGGTGCTCAAATTAGCTGATTACTATGGGGTTTAGATTCCTCGACTCGAATGCACCGAAGTCAAGGTGACCTCGTGATCTGTCTTGAGGATTGCAATTTTGAAGATGTGTTCTTTGTCAAACATTTAGTAAAGTGTCAAATCTGTTTCCATCACGGATTTCTCATCATAATCCGACAATTTTTGCCCTTACATGTATTTCTGCAGCATCCAGTGCGTGCAACCAGGCTACATGTGACAACTGCCAGACGCTCTATCAAAGCTGTCCTGCGTTGGGAGCAACTGGTAGAAGTCAATACCAATACTATTGTGGTACTGCATCTAACTACACGTGTCCAACGACTACTGCAGTTCAGCCTACTACGCGAAGTACAACCTCTCCTCCAACGAAAACATCCATAGTACCTCCAGCAGCAACTAGCGCTACTCCATCGACCACCTCCACAAGACCTTCATCGTCTGCCGTTACTAATCTACGGACTACATCCGACACAGTTGCTGCAGCTACAGTCTCACCATCAACCACGCCTCGGGTTGCAAAGGCCTACGCCGAATCGTCTACTCTTTCCAATGCCTTCCTATCACGAAACCCAACTGATGCTAGTTTGGGGTTCAGTGTACCGAACACATTCGAATATAGATCGGCCAGTGAAACCTCAACGGAAGTTTTAGTTTCTGGATCTTCACAACATGCAAGTGCGCCACCGCCAGGATCATCCAAGCGTGGATCACCAAGTGCTACAGAAGCGGTGGATAGGGTCATAATACTTCCCGGGACAGGGCAATCAAGCGGACTTACTATGGGCTTCAATATTCCCTTGCTTCTTCTCACCCTCTCCATTCTACTCGTACTTCTGTATCGAATGAAGCGCGAATCTCTCTCAGCACGCGGCCACTCTCGACAAGAAAAAAGAGAAGCGGTAGGCTTGCAGACTCCAACACCACCTCCGCCTGCTACAGCCCGCCCCGAACAATGCCGCCAAGTAGCAACTGACACGTCCGAGGGTCCATACTATATTGACGCTGTAGACTCGATGAGCGCGAACGTCACGCCCAAGTCCTGTTCCATGACTAATGGCACCATGTCGGAATTTGTCCATGCGCAGTCGTCCACGGCACCAGCTAATAATAGTGAACAAACCCAAGATTCGCTGTATGCTGATCTGGAGACAACTGCTAATTCCTGTGTTGATGCGCAAGAACGTCACTACACGCTACTATCTAAGCGTACACGAGCATATCGCTACCCTTACGAAGGTCTTGCTCCCCATAGCCGCGACCTTGCCAGCGGGGAATCCCGTGTTGACGCCAAGCCTGATGATGATACGTTGGTTATCTGCAATACCGCCCGCTCACTGGAATACAGCACAGCGTCTGCTCCCGTCACACAAGTTATTTACACTCCTATACTAGTGAGTGACTGCGTCGATGCTGTTCCTGAAGCTTGACCAACTACTCAATTCTAACGTACCCAGTCACCTCAGATCCTAATACAACAAACAACAACGCCCAGAGCAGCAAATTCACGACGCAAATACCCCTGCGGATAAGCGACCAACGAGGCTATTGATTCCAAAGCACGTGATATAATTATGATTTTTTTGTCCAACCACTACTGCATTTCACCCTACTACGCGCAGTACAACCTCTCCTCTAACGAAAACATCCATAGTACCTCAAGCAACTACTAGCGCTACTCCATCGACCGCCTCCACGAGAGTCTCATCGTCTGCCGTTACTAATCTACGGACTACCTCCGACACAGTTGCTGCGGCTACAGTCTCACCATCAACCACGCCTCGGGTTACAAAGGCCTACTCCGAATCGTCTACTCTTTCACATGCCTTCCTATCACCAAATTATGATCATGGACACCAGTGCCTATTATACTAGTTTAGTGTTGTTGACTTGACTCATTGCTGTTCTGCCAATGATTATCTGGATGTCTGGACAACTGTGGCAGATCAATTAATTTGTGTCGATTGGATCCCGCACGTTTCTTTAGGCGTACGGATGTGCCTTCCCGTTACACCGATCCACGCCTCTGTAACAGCTTATATTATAGCGTCTCTTAGTATTTCTGGCTAGAGTAGTATTGAAGTTTTCCTTGGAGTGATATCTGATATCTCTGCTGACTGCCTAGTCTACATGATCAGGCAGCCAACTTGCACCTTCAGTACAGTAGGGTGGCGAATACATTTCTGCCGTAACCAGGCCATGTGGCATTTTAAGACCAATGGTAGATAGCACTGCACCATGTTCTTTCAATTTGGCGACTCTTGCAATGGCTTCAAAACCTGTCTTCAATCGTGTGCATGGCACATTAAACACAATTGTGCCATTGTTCAATACAATTAATGCAAAGGCTCAAATGGTAGATTATGATACTCTCCATACTTCATCACTGTTATGAAATCAATTGAACTCACAGTGCGACACACATGTGCTGGAATGATGATTGGATGTTTCTCTCTAAGTCTCTCTCCGTCCCTCTTTCCTATATTTCTCAATCGCTCTATATCTCTCTCCTACCCCACTCCTTCCCTCCCTTGCTCCCCCAAACCCCACCAAACCCCTCACAGTCCTTCCCTACGAACCCATCCCTCATGTCGCCTTGCTCCTGCAGAACTTGACACTTGACTGACTCACGACCGCCAACAAGAGCACACAAGAAGTCCACAGAACCTTCGACTAAGAAAACCTGCAATAATTCCCCATTCCCCGCTCATTACACAGTGTTTCGGGTAATTCCGTCACCAGTTGAGCTTCCGTAGGCTGAGAACGATTGTGTTCAAAGACTGGAGTACTGCATCCGCACCCAATTGGAACCGAAACTACTGGCTATGTTACAAAGGTGGCCCCACAGACATTAAGATAGCACGTCGCACTACATTGTATAGCGCTCACGCAACCCAAATAGCACTAGGGATAGAGGCTAACAATTACGCACTGTTTACAGCGCAACCAACACCTCGTGAAGCCCAAAATAGCAGCTTGAGCAGGAGTCGCCCATTGAGTGTAGCTAAACAGACGCTGAAAGCCAGCAGCTGTGCACAGCGCTATCACATTGAACAACAACTCACACGTCTGCATGAGGGTTACCACTATCCGCTTAGAAGTAGCAGCGACTTCGGCTGTATTGGTAGGTCACGTGAGTGGGTCCTATAAGAAAAACACATTTTGTACGACAAGTAGAATATAATGATCAATTTATTGCATACCTGCACTGTGTCACTCACCTGTACTTTTAAGCTCTCCGAATTCAAATAAACACTAAACAAAACTTCTTGAATATTCTGTAAGATAACAATAGTCTATTCGGGTTCTAAAGCAAACCAACAACAATAACAACAACAACAACAACAACAACAACAACAACAACAACAACAACAACAACAACAACAACAACAACAACAACAACAACAACAACAACAACAACAAAAACAACAAAAACAACAACAACAACAACAACAACAACAACAACAACAACAACAACAACAACAACAACAACAACAACAACAACAACAACAACAACAACAACAACAACAACAACAACAACAACAACAACAACAACAACAACAACAACAACAACAACAACAACAACAACAACAACAACAACAACAACAACAACAACAACAACAACAACAACAACAACAACAACAACAACAACAACAACAACAACAACAACAACAACAACAACAACAACAACAACAACAACAACAACAACAACAACAACAACAACAACAACAACAACAACAACAACAACAACAACAACAACAACAACAATGACTCTTCTTACTGGTTGTCATCGCTTTCATAATATTGGGCAGAACTGCCCGTTTGCCATGCGATGTAAAATAACATAAACAACAACAACAACAACAACAACAACAACAACAACAACAACAACAGTTTCTCTTATTGGCCACAGCATCCTGAGAATAAAAGATTTCAAGATTTCAAACAACAGCAACAACAAAATCAAAAACAGCCACAACAGCAGCAACAACAAGATGTTGAACATCCTCTGGAAGCATCACTAACTACCGCTAGTGGCTGTACTTCTACGTTGATGTATACGTACGAATATAATCATCCGGTAGCGGTGGCCTGTTTGCTTCCGAATGCAGCAAGTGGCTTGGAGAGTAAAGGCCCGAGCCAAACAGTCAGCACACTGCACACTGTACACCGCACTACAGACTATCCTAGAACACAATCCGTAGCTCAGGTCGCTGGTAGAGTAGTCAGCAATGCTTCATCAGACCTGCAAGTCTCATTACACTCGGGCATCATTTCGTTCAAAACTTCATTTAGATCGCGATTATCACACAGCAGAGCTATATTAGCACACTGCTCAGCAACAAAAGACTCCTGCTCAAGTGAATTTTCTCATGCGTTTTTTCTAAAGCACACATGTCCTACCCTATGACGGTGTCTTGAAAGATATATATATTTGCAGGAACAACGATACCAGCTAGTGGTGACAATGCACAGCGGACTGCTGATGGTGGTGTTTACCGTTGGTGTGTTCGTATTGATACCAACCCACAGTGGAGCAACAGGTAAGATTCTACAAGTTTGTAGATGATACCACCCTGCTAATGTCAGGATCACTATAAAACAGTTTACTAGTTTTCTTCAACGCACTGCATTTTGCTGTGCCATTGTGATAACTGATAAGTGATGCCACTATTTGCAGCACTACCCTGCAACAGTAAACACTGCTATCCGCATAGAGCAACCCGAGTTACAGCACTGCCAAATACGAAAAAACGGACCTGTTCATTAGTTAGCGGGAAAGTTGCAAACTAGAAAGGTGTGACGAAACAATTGACTCTCACCCGCTGGACTCGAACCAAGAACTCTCCTCACTCATGGCCAACAGTTGGCGCAGTCGACATCCAAACAGCGACCGTTCACATGATTATGTTTTATCAGATTTCGAAACTCACGCTTCCTGTGAATCCACGGCGACTGGTTGGACGCAGCCCTCACTTTAACCCACTAACTTCACGTACAAACCACAAGAGGAGCCCCAATACATAACATATTCAATAAAAAAGCCGAAATATTGAGGGCGTTTTAAACTTAGAGTGGTACACTAATGATATACAAGCTAAATGGGCCGGCGGAGAGCACATAGCGGGATGCAGACCTACACTGATGGTCACTTAATATAGATGTTGCACGGCTGTCACGATGGTCATGTACTCGGCCAAAAAATATGGCGTCCAAAAATTTGAAAATTCAAAAATCTCATCATCGATCTGTCATTGATTTGCTTGAAAATACTCTTTTTCTCTTGAGGAAACCTCCACTTTCCCCTTCCAATCGACCGGGTTTCATAGTACAAACACGCTTCATGACTTCCTCTCGCGATCCTCTTTCATCTGATACCCGTCCTGGCCGTGTTCTTCCAGGAACGATTCCTTCAGAGGTGCGTTTCCTTTGCCTTGACGACTTGCCCTTCGTCACTTCTATCAGCCCTTTTCACAGCTACCTTCTTCTCTTGTAAAAGTTTTCTCGTCTTCTTTGCCAGTTTTCCTGGTGCCTGGGTGACTTCATTTACCGATTTTTTGAATTTGTTTGTCTTTCCGTGCTACTAGATCGATTTCCGTGGCCATCGATTCTACCGTATCGCGTGCTAGTAGTAGTGTGTAAAATGGATGAACACGGTGCATTGCTGTCTACCTGCTGCAGTATTGTTGGCAAAAAGTTTGCAAACATGGCTGTGTCCACGAAATACAACGTGAAGGACTATGCCAGATCATTCAAGATGTGTACGAGGTCGACATTTCTCAGGATGACCCTGCGATCCACCCTACACACATTTGTCATGTATGCAAACGTGTGCTGGATCGTTGTCTGAGAGAAGGTTGCCTTGACTCATTTGTAGGGGATGGATGTGGAGCGATCAAAGTGTGGAAGCCACATCACCGCACATACTGCGACATATGCCACACTGCACCAAACAAGGGTAGACGTCCACCAAAAAAGCAGAAGCAACTTGCTTCAAAGCTTTCTGCTGTACAAAAAAAAGAAAAGAAATGGATCACACAACAGTCCCACAACATTCATCCACAACAGCAATACCCCTATCACACTGTACTGTCCTGGACCCCAGACAGCACACAGTACTAGTTAAATGGATGTAGATGAAGCAAATGTTTTCACGCACGCAACACCGACATACAGCGCACAGAAGAAACTGGACAAGACTAGGTTCGTTCATTGCGCAGCAGGTTCTACAATACACAGCAAGGGAAGTGCCAATGAATAAGAAAGACGGCAGCATAGTGATGGCATGCATGGCGTACATGCCAAATCTCATTGACATCGTGATGATCTGATGATCTGGACTTGTACGACACATATGGGTGGCTGACCTGGCACGGAAATGTCATTCCGGAGTCCGAGATTCGGCTAAAACTTGGCGGTGACCGCCTCTGGAGCAAATCTTTCGCAAGCCAAGCACCACAACAATGCCATCCGCCCAGTTATCTTGCCAATTCCCGTCAGCAACGTTGTTATTCCGTCTTTTCATCTGGATCTCGGCATTTTCGCATGGCTGTATCACATCTACCTAGCTGAAGTCAAACAACTGGATGTGAAACTGGCAGCAGCAACTCTCTAGCCGTGTGCAGATGATCAGCTCCAGTTTCAAGAGCTAACAGTTCTCAGCGACAAAGTTCGGTCCGCCAGGCAAGCTATGGAAGATGCCCAGGCGAAGAGCGATGAACTACAGCAGCAGCTCCAATATGGAGTGCTCTTGCAGCAACACGCACCAGCCAGCTTTCCCAACGTCAATATGGACACTGTAGCTGCAGCAATACAGCAACTGTGGAAAGACGCCAGCGACGCCTTCACTGCTGCAAGTGCTGAGCACAGCAAACTCGTACATGACTTAGACGAGATGAGAAAGAACAAGAAAGTCACAGGACCATGCGCGTCAAGTCTCGAGTCTGTGCTCCAAACACACAATGTTGATCGGCAAGCCTTCCATGGCGGTGCCTTCGTGGGCAACCATGTACATCGCACACTGCAGCCTGCCGTACTAAGAGCACTGATGTCTGCTCCAGTTGAGGTGGTTTCCACTCGTTGCCAGCAGCTCGTTGCTGATGCAGAAATCTTGCAGCAGCGGTACCATGGATTGTTTTCGGGATATGCCGACTGCAGCCACCGTTTCAGCCATTGCAACAGCATGTCAGAGGCCGACATCTCAAAGCTGGCTGACTGCATCCAGCTGTTTCTTCAGAAATGCAGAGAATCCATTATCACCCGGCAGCTCGGCAACATAACTCCGAAACTACATCTCTTGGAGGAGCGCACAGTCCCGTTCACCAGGAAATTTGGAGTCGGTCTGGGTCGACTCGCCGAGCAGGGCAGCGAGTCAATTCATGCCAGATTCAACAGGCTGAGCTTCGA